TAGAAGAATTGTCAGTTTTTTCAAATATTTGATATTATTATGAAGAATCTGAATATATTTTGAACTAATGTGAAATTTACCTGACACATTTGCGATAATTAGGAAATATGAATTTCATTAGGAATATCTGAATTAGGAATATCTCAGTTACAAAGGTCTGAAATTCATTTGTCTAAACTGTATATTTTCTACGAATATTTGAATTTTATCTCAGTGCCTGAAAATGACTAGGAAAAGGTGTAGTGTAGAATGTTTCTTACAAGGACACTAACAAAATGAGATGTGGTGACACACCAAAAACAGCAAATTTATACCAGTACAACTCTACATCATTAGCATTTAACACAATGTATAAATGTATATGCCACCATTCATATGCTTATGGGGATCCACCATTTATATGCCCTTTATTTTATATGGGTATCACACGCTTACAGGAGATATTGATAGATATTGATCAGAGTATGCGCATCTTTAATAACACAGAAAATGCAGTTAAAATTGTAAACAACTATAGACGTAACATATGAACGAAAGACAAAGATCTTACCTTGAATGGTGAAAATAGAATAGAAACTTTACTGTTAAGTCTTTAAAATTTGATGACAAAAATGTGACCCTGTTCCGCTGTCCGTCGAAATAAAAAAGCACATGGAATGGATATGAGCAAGTTTAAAATTTGTGTTCTGCGCATAAAAAGCGTGCACTACCACAATTCCTTGCGCTATATAAAATTTAGTTCAGAACTCCCTCTCTGCACAAATTAGATTGCTGTTACGCTTGCTCGCTTCAGGCTCGCTTGCTTCGCAGCAATTATAATTCATGCAACACTCAAAATAAATGTCATCTTTCTGCACATCCTTGTATTATGGCTCTATTTATTAACATTAGTTATTATTTATATTACAATATATGCTACAAGAAAGATTCTACACAGTCAACTCTGCTCAATTAGCTAATATGATAGTATATGCATAGATGCAACAAATGCATGGAATGCTATTTTTCCCTTATTCTTCATGGTTCTTGTTTGTACTATATAAGCAGATACAAATTCCTGATATAAAAATAAGGAAAATGTAATCTTATTTTATACCTTTATAAATGACAGCAAGGACGTGTTTCTCCACCATCTTCCTGGGTGCCTGACATTGAATATAT